AAGTGAGCTACTGTAAATCTGACAAAACCTTACGTCGTTTTTAAAAATAAAAATAAATATTTTGTTAATGTGTATATATATATATATATATATATATATATATAGTAATTTTATTCTAAAGTTTTATTCAAAGGCAAAAGTGTTGCATAAAATAATGCTAATTAATATTATTAGCATTATATAAAAACAACAAAATGTGTCTATCTTGACTTTTTCAACCACGCTCTGTGTATCTGAATGCTTTTTATCATAGGTATGCGGGCAACATCCGCAAAGCATCATCATGCAAGTTTTTCCGTGGGCCGCACATCCGAGTGTGTGCGTATGTGACACGTTTAGCCTCTAAATTATGTCCTGTCATTAGAGGCACTTCTGGAGTGTTAACCACTGCTGATGGTGATTAGGTAAAGCTCCTAGATTCAGTATTTAAAGTGCAGCTCCACTCCGCTGTTTAATAGACCCTGTATTTTGGACGATTAGCGTCTGCGGAGAAATGTACATGTGATATGAGAGGGACTTAGGAGAGCGCTCAATCTGCGTCTAAGCTCAAAGGGGAAGTGTGCCTTTAATCTGGGCTTAATGCACGCAGTCTGTGGGAGGGGGCAGAGTGGCGCACCAGTGGGGTGGCCATTAGCTTTTAACGATTAGCCGTGAAAGTTAGCCTCTAGACCTGCAGTTCAACTGCGATGGGACGGGGTGTGAATGCTGAAGTTTCTGAAATATACAAAAAAGTGATGGCAATTTCTTTGATAATATACCCCGAACTGGATAATACTGCTGTTTGGAGATTATACTGCCATCATTTGTGTTCCTACATAAGTGTGTGTTTAGTCACCTCACCCGTATCTGCACATTCGGCTTTGATATTCGAGGCTGTTTATGAATAACATAATTCTTAGCCTTGTGAAAATAAAAGCCAATAAAGTTATTAATCCACCAGATAATGAGTGAAGACCGCTGTTAAAGTTTACAATGCAAATAAGCAGACATGAATAGCCTGTAAGGAAGTCTTAGCTTCAGAGACCATTCTTTGTGCGTCTGTGTTGTGTTAGCGAGTGTGTGTGTGTGTGTGTGTGTGTGTGTGTGTCAGTGGACAGGGTCTGTGTGTTTGGCAGGCCGGCCTTTATTGGAACCACAGAAGGATGGAGTGAAATTATGCTAATGGCTTCTAATAATGACCTTGGAGACCAGCTTTTCTGCCAATTTATCTGCTTAATAAAACCCTCTCTTTTTTAATCCCAACATCTCGACAAGCTTTAAATGTTTCATGTAGACTCTCCGCCACGATAGGTCTGCCAACTTTAAATGAAATAGTGGCTATAACCTGCTCACCCAGGGAGCGGAATTGTATAGTAATTATACTTCAAAGGCTCGCAGGAAAATAGACATTTTATTACTCAAGAGGAGCTGTGAAAAGCTTCTGTCAGTGGGCCGGCAAGGAAGTAGGGAAGAAAGAGGCAAAAGGA